GCTGCCGCCTGCTGGCCGCTGCCTGCTGGCTGGCGGGAGTCCCCGTGGCGCTGGTCTTCACCATCTGGCTGTTCAGCTTCCCCTTCTGCGGGCCGCGTGGCATCCGCCACTTCTTCTGTGACATCGCCCCTCTGCTCAGCCTGGTGTGCGCAGACACCAGGGTCTTCGAGGCCAACGTGTTGGCGGCCACGGTGCTGGTCATCATGGTTCCCTTCTGCCTGATTGCCACATCCTACGCCAGGATTCTGGCCACTGTCCTGCGGATGCCGTCGGCCTCGGGGCGCCTCAAGGCGCTGTCCACCTGCGCGTCCCACCTCATCGTGGTGATTCTGTTCTATGGCACCACGGGGGTCATCCATTTGCGCCCCAAGGCCAGCTACTCTCCTGAGAGCAAGCAGGTGGTGTCCCTGTCCTACACCCTGGTGACCCCCATGCTCAACCCGCTCATCTACAGCCTTCGGAACAAGGAGGTGAAGGCTGCCCTGGTGCGCCTGTGTGGTCAGAGAAGAGGCACCCACTTTCCATGACCTGTCTCTGATTCCCAGCCGTTTTGGGCGGCTCCTGCCCTTGTGGTCCTTAGTGAGGTCACTGTGCACCAGAACTCTGCCTTCTCCTGGGGCTCCCCAGTGGCCCTGAACCCACATCCTCCCTGCGGCTCCAAGCACTCAGCACCCAGGGCTCAATGATGGACCGTGGGCTGGACCCAAGTTGAAAAGCATGGAGATGGCGTGTTGGAGGTGGAAGCCCTGCTGCCACGCCAGCTCTAGTGAGAGTCTCTCTCTCTCTCTCTCTCTCTCTCTCTCACACACACACACACACACACACACACACAACATGCCATTAAACTTGAACTTCGGGTAAATGAGAAATTGGCTTGGGTATCAGTGGATCTCACTCTCGTTCACCTGAAGTCAGAGTCGACTGGGCATTATGAATTGGCAGCCCTACATGAAGGTGGTATCTGCTTCCCATGCCATCCTTGTGTGACATCTGTCATCCCACAGTTCTGGAGGTCCGGACTCTAACCTGGGTCTCACTGGGCTAAGATCCAGGTGTGGCAGGGCTGGCCCCTCTCTCAAGACCCCAGAAGAATCCTCCTGTGATCCTCCAAGCCTCATTTGGAAGTTGAGTCCTCCCATGCCAGTCCGCCTCTCCTGCCTGCCTCTCCCCTGCAGAGGACCTTGATTGACATCAGGCCCACCCAGATAACCCAGGATGTCTCTGCATCACAAGGCCCTTAACTTGGTCACACTGCCAAGTCCCTTTTGCTGTGTGGAGCCCAGGCTGAGGCCGTGGGTATTAGCCCTGGTACGTCTCGAGGGGAGTGTTGTGGTCCCTACTGTCCCACCCTTTAGGGCCCTCCTTGAACAGAACCCACCGGAGGAATCTGGGAGGAGCCCTTTCCATGCCGTGCTTGGGAATGGACCAKCGGTACCTGGGCTGTTGGCATTGCAGGTGTCCACCCCACACTCCTGCAGTTAAGCTTGAGAGCTTTGGGCCCTCCCTCATGGTCTTGCTGACAGGAATTGTCACCAGCGTCAGTGGGGGACTGTGAGAATCTCATTTTTTGGGGGGGGGCAACAAAACCCAGTTTCTTCCCCAATTTCCATGAACTTGGGATTAGGGACAAAACTGCTGCTACCTTCTTGCCCCCTGTAGTCTGAGAACAGGACCGTCTCACAATAAGTGACCCACGAAGAGAGAAGTCGGGCCCTGTGGCCCGTGCTGAGTTCCTAGCCTAGTGACAGGAGCCTGTACATTTCCGTTTTGCTGAAGCTGATGTTGGTARGGATTTTTTTGACCACGAGGTCTGGCCAGTTCATGTGCGTGTGCCCTTCCTCTGAGTCTGCAGTCCCTCATGTTCCTGATCCTAGGGGGTGTCATTTGTTCCCTGTGGCCTCCTTCCCTGTTGCTCTATAGTCTTGCTGACATGAATTGTCACCAGCGTCCTGAGAGTGGAGCTCGGTGTGCACCCGAGGTTCCGGTCACAGAAGAGGCACTGTGGACTCACAGCAGGAAGCGGTAACTACGGCTGCGGGCTGGGCGCGGCTGGGTGCGGCTCTGTCTGCTGCTCCATGTTCTCCATGTCACATTACTACAATTGTTCCCCATGCCTGTCTGCACCCCCCGGCCGAGTTAGAGCCACGTCCACCGTCCTCCTCTCCGGCTGTCTCCACTGCAGGCCTCCCCACCTGCCCCCCCCCACCTCTGCTGGGTGGTGTGGGCAGAACTGCGTCCATTCCTAAGTTCCTACGTCACAGTCTCAGCCCCCCGAGTCTCCGGACGTGACCCTGCTTGGAGATAGGGCCCTCGAAGAGCTGGTTGTTAAACTGGGTCCCCCAGGGCGAGTCCTGTCCCGTATGAGTGGTGTCCTTGGAGACTGGTGGCCGACACACACCATCGGCCCTCGGCACCTGTGGGTTCTGCGTCTGTGGATTCCACTGTGGGCTGGACATCCTGGAGGGAGGCGCAGCCAGCCCTGGCCACGCACGTGCTTGCTTCTCTGGCTATCGACCCCCAACGTGGAGTAAGAGCTCTTTACGCAGCGTGCACCTCGGCTTGGGTCCCACCAGCCACCCACAGACCATGGCCTCCCCCAGGAGGCACATGGGTGGCAGGCAGACTGGAGGCCACGGCACCCAGGGCTTGAGCCTGCAGATGGGTGCCCTCTGGGGCCTGGTACAGAAGCCAGCGGAGGGAGGACAGAGGGATGGCCACCGCACACAGAGGGAGAGGCTCAGGAAGAGCCAGATGGCCAGCCTCCATCTTGAACTTGTGTCCCTAGGCCACAGCAGGCCTGTCACTCACGCCACCCGGCAACACACCTGTTATCTCCTGCTGCCCCGGGCCCAACCCGCTGCCCGGGCCTCTCATGCCATGTGCCTGGTGGGAGGTGCTGCTCTCACAGGTTCAGCTGGGTGGCCTGCCCAGAGCCACGCCTGGCACTTAATCTTCAGGGGCCATTTCTGTGTCTCTTTCTCCCACTCCCTTCCTCTCCCCTCCCTTCCTCTCCCCTCCCTTCTTCCTCTCTCCCCGCTTCCCCACCCTCTCTCTTCTCCCTCTCTCCTCCCCTCATTCTCCTGCTCCTCTCCCTTCCCTC